TCAACCAATGAATGCATAAATAAGTGCAACAACAAATTGATGTCTCTACCTCTCTGTCTCTCTCTAAAATCAATTTAAAAATTACTATTGTGTAGATAAACTTTCAGCTGGTTAAGAACAGAGAAGGGATAGTATCAAGAAACTTACTATATATAGTATACCTTTGGGAAGTCATCATATATTTCATAGAACAGAAAATTAAGGTATTAACCATCAATCTCCTTAGGGCTTTTAATAAAATTATCAAATTCTGTCCAGATATAAATAAGTTATCCTATAAGCACTCAAATGGGAAATAAACTGGTCTTTAAAAAGAGCTGAGAGGGGACTGCAAAATGGTACAACTGCTATGGAAAACAGCATGGAGGTTCTTAAAAAAATTAAAAATAGAACTACCCTATGATTCAGCAATCCCATTTCTGGGTATATATTCAAAAGAATTGGAAAGCAGAGTCTTTTTTTTTTTTAAATATATTTTATTGATTTTTTACAGAGAGGAAGGGAGAGAGATAGAGAGTTAGAAACATCGATGAGAGAGAAACATCGATCAGCTGCCTCCTGCACATCTCCCACTGGGGATGTGCCTGCAACCCAGGTACATGCCCTTGACCGGAATCGAACCTGGGACCCTTCAGTCTGCAGGCCGAAGCTCTATCCACTGAGCCAAACCGGTTTTGGCGGAAAGCAGAGTCTTGAGGAGATTTTTGCACATTCATATTCACAAGAGCCAAGAGGTAGAAGCAACCCAAATGTCCATCGAAGATGAACTGATAAATATGTGGTATATATACAGATATGATGGAATACTCTTCATCCTTAAAAAGGAAATTCTGATGCATGCTACAAAACGAATGAACCTTGAGGATATTATGCTTAGTAAAATAAAACAGTCACAAAAAGACAAATACTGCATGATTCCACTTATATGAGGTTATCTAAAGTAGTCAAATTCATAGAAACAGAAGGTAAAATGGTAGTTACTAGAGAGTGGAGGGAGAGGGGAAAGGGGAAATTTTTTAATGAGTATAGTTTCAGAAATGCAGATGAAAAAGTTCTGGAGATATATTTCACAAAAATGTGAATATAGCCCTAGCCAGTTTGACTCAGTGGATAGAGCGTTGGCCTGCGAACCGAAAGGTCCCAGGTTCAATTCTGGTCAAGGGCACATGCCTGGGTTGTGGGTTTGATCCCCAGTGGGGGACTTGCAGGAGGCAGCCGATCCATGGTTTTCTCTCATCATGGATGTTTCTATCTCTCTATCCCTCTTCCTTCCTCTATGAAATTAATAAATGTATATATTAGTGCCCCAGTGCATGAAGAGAGCCAAAAGAATGGTTCCAATTTAGTCTCCAGTTTTATTAGAGAAAAAATTAATCCTATCCCAGAACTAAGAATGTTTTAACTAAAAAGATACATATTTGTATTCAGGTCCACATAAAAAATTCAGATAAAATATTTAGAATTTTAGACCTTTTTATTCAGAGGCCCACAAGGTAGGAGGCAGAAAGAAGACAAGGTCTTACATATTGGTAAGAATCAGATTTTCCACATGCTGGTTTTCAGTCTTAATGCAATGACTTCAGATTTATTTTAATAATTCTTTTAACTCATTTCTCCTTGTAGATCCTTAGATGCATTATTATCATGGGCTGCCCTTTTGATTATAAATCAAATCACACTTTTATTACTGTATTAACAAAGCCTCTTGGGCTGTAAAAGAGAGCAGATGGGATGATTAACAGCAGCAGCTGTTACATCAATGTTCAGGAAATAACACACATATCATAAATGAGTTTTTAAATTTTATATGCCTTAGCTTTTCAATTCTTTAATGCTCCTCTCTTTGCCTCCAACATGCAACAAAACACAATATGAAGATAAACTTAAATCAGTAAGATGTCTACTTTGATGACTTCTAGCCAAGCAAATCAACTTTGCTAGTTTGATTTTGACAAAATATGTTAATCATTTAGAATGAATTTAACTTTGTAATCCATTATTAGATTTTAGTGGACTTTTTTAATTCTTTAATTTCAGTTTACAAAATGCTCAATTGTTTTACATGTTTTACAGGTACATATTCTAATTCAATCTTCATAAAAAACAGTGGAGGTAAATACCATTATTATTCACATTTTATAGGTGAGGGAATTGTACAGAGTAATTAAGTTCCTTGTCCGAGGTTAGGCTAGCAAATAACAGAGCCTGGATTTAAATGAGACTTCAAAGCCGGTGCTCCTAATTACTTTCTTCTTCAGTGTTGTTCCTTAAGATACAGAATCAGTGCAATCTGCTATCTTTTCACATTGGCTCACAACTAAAGCAGTATTGAAATATAACTTGTATTTAATGGCTATTTAAGTAGAAATTCACAAATAGGGAGGGGTCTTGGCTTCCTGAAGATTAGCAGCAGAACAGGCAGCTCAAAAAGTGGCTTACAAGTAGCATTTTAGTTTCTTCAGCAAGTCATTTTTCCTGAATCAAAATCTAAAATATAATTATGCTTTATGTGGTACAACAAGGTCATTCTAACCCCCTCCTTTTCCCCTTAGCTGGAAATTCGGCAAAGTATTTTTAGTCTTTTAAGAGAGAAGTATTGATGCATCTGTACAGTAATCTGGTTAAATCAAATCACAGCCTCTTGAACTTTTTAAGGTAACTCTAGAAAATAACTCCTCACCCTCCCAGGGTCCTTTTTTAAAAAAAATAAGTCATCATTTGTCTATATGATTAATCACTTTCAGTGCCAGAGTTTCTATTTTGAGATAGTCAGTCTAAATATCTACCATCCCAGGAGCTATTCACCATGGTGTATGGGAGAATTACTAAAGGAAAAGACTAAAGATCCTTATTAAATGGGCTACGGAAAGACTAAATTAGCAGCAAGAGTTATTTCTCAGAATAAGAGACGTCACTAAACAGTTTGAGCTGTTATATTAGCATCAGCAAACGTGTTTGTTTTTTTTTAATTAAAAAAAGAAATCCTCATCCAAGGATATGTTTTCATTGATTCTAGAGAGGAGGAAGGGAGAGGGAAGAGAGGAACATCGATGTGAGAGAGACACATTGATTGGTTGCCATACATGTGAACTTGCAACCAGAGTATGTGCGCCGACTCGGAATCAACCCTGCGACCCTTTGGTACATGGTACGAAGCTTTAACTAACTGAGCCACATTGGTTAGGGCAGCAAATGCTTTTTGAGTTGGAATTATGGACTCAATTCCTGAACCCAATACGGGGTAAATTCTAATGATTGTCATAGAAGATATTTCCAAGAAACTTAACCTTTTTCTGATATTGGGGAGGATGATAAGAGCAGATGCTTAGTAAACAGAGGTTTGTCCTGCCCAATACACAAATCAAAAGAGGTTATCTCTGATAATCTGCGCCTATGGGGAAGGCCCCTAATTCAAGTTATTTTAGGTAGGGGCAGAAATTTTTTTAAAAAAAAATATATTTTATTGATTTTTTACAGAGAGGAAGGGAGAGGGATAGAAAGTTAGAAACATTGATGAGAGAGAAGCATCAATCAGCTGCCTCCTGCACACCCCCTACTGGGGATGTGCCCGCAACCAAGGTACATGCCCTTGACCAGAATCGAACCTGGGACCCTTCAGTCCCAAGGCCGACGCTCTATCCAGTGAGCCAAACCAGCCAGGGCAGGGGGCAGAAATTTTTAAAAAAATATATTTTATTGATTTTTTTTTTACAGAGAGGAAAGGAGAGATAGTTAGAAACATCGATCAGCTGCCTCCTGCACACCTCCCACTGGGGATGTGCCCGCAACCAAGTTACATGCCCCTGACCGGAATGGAACCCGGGACCTTTCAGTCTGCAGGTCGACACTCTATCCACTGAGCCAAACCGGTTAGGGCCAGAAATGGCTTTTGAGCCAGAGGCTAAAGTTGCTTTTAGCTCAAAACAATCTGCATACCACGGAGGCACATCTTGGGGTGACTCGTTCTGAACCCTCATACTGGCAAATGAGACAAGCTCCAACTGTTTCAAACACACACTGCATAAAGAATGTAAAGCTGTTTTCTTACTTAGTCACTCATATACTGAGTAGTTACTCTGAGGAGAAGCATTATCCAAGACAGATACATAAACTCACAGGCCTAAGGCTGAAGACGTTTTCAACCTGGAAAGAACTCTACCAAGTGGTAGGGGTCAATAGTCTCACAGAACAGTCCAAAACACCTCCACTAGTTCCAGAACTGATAACTCATTTCCACATTTCACATACAAAGATTAGTTTTCCCCAATTCTGAACTCTTAATCGAAACCTGGATATCACTATGGTAAACACCATTTCCTCCTCACATTTACAGATCTGCTCCCACAAAGATCCTTAGGCCTTTAAGAAATCCCTTTAAAAGAGACAAAGCTTGTGGCATATGCAGAGATTTCTCTGGCAGGCCTTTTTTTTTTTTTTTTTTCCAAACGACCTCTGGCAGGATTTTCCTAGAGATCAGAGGAGTCAACCTAACTCATAAAATTAGCCAAGATCCAGAAAGATCCTTTGGTAATTAAAGGTAAGTGTTGAGCTAAGGAAAGGATCTGTGGGCGGATCACTCTCCCGGGCCACCTCAGATAACATATCCATCCTCGGAGCAGTAGGCGAGAGCAAGTCTGCGCCCATGCACTTCCCTTGACCTCTTAAATCAGCCCCGCAGACAATGACCGGCAGACAGCTCCGCGAGTCCGTGGGGTCACTCCAGGGCAGGGCCAAATGCCAGTCCCGGCGGTTCCTCGCAGTCAGGGACCTCGGCCGAGAAGCCACCACACCCCTCACTTCTCCTTACTGTCCGCGCAGAGGCCGGGAGGCCAGGCTCTTGGTCCCGGCGTTCATCTAGCGCCCCCCAAAGCCACGACGGCCGTCACCAACGCCGGGCCCACTCTGCCCAGCCTCCCCGACCCTCATTTAGCCTCTCTGTCCTTTTGGGGCGCCCGCCCACCCCCCCTGGCCGCCCCCAAGGAAAAAAAGTGCGAACTCACCGCCGCGCCGGTGAAAATGTCCTCCCCCTCAGTGTCGCTGTCCCCAGCCTCGGGTTCTGAACCCCCGGCCGCCCCCTCGGACTCCGGCTCCAGGCCGGGGAAAGGCGGAGGGAGTCTTTCCGAAGCGCTACAGCCACCACCACCCGACGCCATCTTCCTCCACCCGCGACGGAAGCCGCAACAACAACTTTATAGAGAGAAAGCGCCGCGAGCAAATCGTCCTAGCGGAGCGAGGAGTGGGATGACCACTCCCACCCCCCGCGGAACGCGCCGGGGCGGGGGCCTAGGTATTGGGGGCGGGGCCTAGGCGCTGGGGGCGGGGCTTAGGCGCGGGCTCACCGCTCCCGCCCCAGCAAATCTGATCCCTGGATCCCAGTGCTGAGTTCTTCAACCAAGAGAGCTAAGGGGCAGAAAGGGAGAGGCCAGGCCCTGGCCGCCAGGGGCTGCTCAGGTTGCTAGAGCCCTTTGAGCTCTGCATAGCTTTATCTAACAGGCTTCTTAAGGAGATGTCGTCTGGATAAAGGTGTCTGCAAACCTCTACATGCCACCTACCCATGCCAGGCATAGTGCCCTCATAGAGCTTCAGTAAGTACTTTTGACTCAGGTCTCCGAACAGATTGCAGTAAAGCCTTGCCATGTATTCTTTGGACAACATTTAGTTAATTCAAGTGCCTGGCACCGTGCTATACATCTGAGACATAGAAATAAAGAAGCTCCTGGCCCAGTAGGTGCTGCAGGCCATGTAAATGAACTACTCAACAGGTTTAGTGCTATAATTTGCTGTGCCAGCACAGTAAAAGTGATTATATTCTATTTGTTGAAGTCAAGAGGCCTCACAGAGGAAGTGAAACCTCAGTGTCCTAAATCTGGTTGCAAGGAAGTTAGGATTCTCCTCTCAATTGCTGTGGAGTATGTGAAGTGAAACAGGGAAATTATTAAACTCTGAGCAAAATTTTCTTGGGACTTAAACAATTCACTGGTTGTCTGGTGAGCCTAAAGACTAAATCAGCTAGATAAGATAAATGGGATAGTTTATTGTGGGATAATTCTGCAAGATAATCCTGACTTTCTTCTCAGTAGAGATGAGAAAAAACTTGGCATCGCCTTTGACAAAAGGTTTCGTTTGTTTCTAACTGCAAATTCCTCAACATCAGGGGATGGCTCCCTCATAGATCTGTTAGCTGCTGGAAGGCAGGGGCCCTGTCCAAGCCTTGACGCCTACAGACCAAGTCTGGCAAATTAAATACCCAATAAATGTTTTCGATTTGATTGGAGGGATAGATGGATAAAACTCTAACATCAACCTTGTTACTCGCAACCATCAAGGCCACGAACGCCAGAGGACTTAGGACATCCTTTCTAGGATGGTGATCTCCAAGGTCACTATTGGATGCACTAGACACAGGGAAAGCTCTCCTTAGTTGTCTTTGAAGGCAACTGGCAAAAATATTCAGTCTGTAGTGGGGAGTTGTGCTGGCCTAAATTCCTGTAAGATGAGAAAACTAGCCACATCTAACCATCCTTCACTGGGCTCCCAGGCCATCCTGTTTCGCAGTCAGGGAAACTCACTTCCGGCCTAAGGAAGTAAAATCTCCCTTGGAGAAATAACAGTAGGAGTCTCCGTGCACACGCTTCTCCAGGACTAGATATCAAGATTTCCTTTCCCCTACCTCTTCAGGATTCATCTTTAGTCATCCTTAGTCTATAGAAGGCGCTGAGTGAGGAAATCAGTAGTGGATAATAGACCGTTACATGCCGACTCCCTTCCCTGTCGGAGACTACATGTCCCAGAACACAGCTGTCTTCCGAAGAAAACGACCCACACGTCCCAGCATGCAATGCGCCTCTCTCCAGTCTCGCGGAAACCGAGCAAAGCATGATGGGGTTTGTTGTCCTTGGGGTTTGCGCCTTTTCCCTTGGTCCCCCGCGCTACTCTCTCCGGACCCGCCCATTCCCTGCTGCCCTGGACACTTAGGTTGGTCTCGGCCCGTTTGGAAACCAGGAAGTTGATAAATCGCGAGGCCCGCTGAGGAAAGACGGCGGCTCGGGTGGGACAGTCGCCAGGGATGGCGGAGCGTGAGGATGAAGCGGGTGTCGGGGCTGCTCTCCTGGACGCTGAGCAGGGCCCTGTGGCTCTCAGGCCTCTTTGAGCGGGGAGCTGACCGGCAGCCCCGGATCATGGAAGAGAAAGCGCTAGAGGTTTATGGTAATTAATTTTATCTAGGGCAGTATTCGGCGTTCTACGTGGAGGCTGTGGGTAAACGAGGGCCTCACTTGAGGGCTGGGAGGGGCGACTCGGGCTTTTGCCGGATCCGCTGGGGAGCGTGGGAAGCGTTTTCTTGGGGGTTTTAAGTCACGCGGCATTATGGGTCTTTCTAGGACCGGGGCTCTTTCTAGACCTGGGCAAGCCAAGTCTGGAAGTCTTCAACGCTTCATTTCCCTTGTCTGCCCCAAGCCCTAGTGGCAGAGCTGGCGCCGACGGTGCTTGTTTAGGAAGCAAGCTGGCCTGGTTGCGCTCCTTGAGCCTCTTTCCTATCCCTGACACGCGCTCCTGCTACCGTTGAGGGCGCTGATGTGTGACTGCCAAGTTGGGGACTGGCCCAAGGTCACAGCCACTTCTCTGTACTGCAAAGGCATAGGCAGAGATCCCCAAGAGCAGACGACGAGATAGGTTCCTCGTAGCCAGTCTTCGAACTTAACACAGCCAAACCTGGAATGCAAAAAAAAAAACACAACACAACACACACACACTTCTCTTTTTACCCCTGGGGCCATCTTCATTGTATAGGTGAGGAAACAGAAGTTTAGAGTGGCTACACAACTATCTGGTGGTCACACTGCTAGTAAGGGAAAAGGGTAGAGCTCATGTCTTCTGATTCCAAATTTAGTGCACTTTCCACCACTTCACAATGGCCTTATGACTATTCTTTTGGTATTGTTTTTGAAAACTAAAAAGAGTGGATCTAACTAACGTTGAGAGATTCTTACTGACTGAGGGTAAAGAAAGAACCGTAAGAATAAAAATATAATATAGTAAGGATTATAGGCTAGGAGACGGAAGCTCGTGATGGAAATAACCTTTGGAGCTGGTCTAGTTTACCATTCTCTTGCCAGGGGCAGGACCTAATCAACCTTCCTAGATGATTGACAGGAGTGGAATGACCTCCAGGAAACTGATGGATGCTTTTTTGTCCTGTCAGGTCTCTATCTACAGTTGCTAGTGACAGCAGGGCACGGGGGACACAACTTTGGAAGAGAGAGAGATGATTTTTGTCTTCAAACTTACATTGAGGGGGACAAATATTTATATATATATATATGTGTGTGTGTGTGTGTGTGTGTGTATATATATAAATATTTATATATATAAATATATATGTGTGTGTATATGTATATATGTATGTATGTGTGTGTGTGTATATATATATATATATATGGTAGAAGGCCATAGGCCTGAGAGATACAGAAATTCAAAGGAAAGAGAGATACCATTTCTGATTGGGAGATACCATTTCTGATTTGGGATCTGGAAAGACTTTAAGGAGAAAGAATCACTTGAGTTGGGCCTTGAAGAATTAGTAGGATCTGGACATATAGAGGGTAGAGGGCATACTAAACAAGAAACTAGAGCAAAAGGATGGGGGTGAGAAAATGGCATGTTTGGGGAATGGCAGATAGGTGGATAGGATAGAGTGTGGTTAAAAGTGGTAGGTAGGGTCAAAAATTGTTTTAGATAACAGGTTGGAATTGGATACTGAAGGTTTACATATAAATGATTTTTTTGGTATAACAGTTTCTTTAATGACAACATCTATATCATAAATGAAGATTTTAATATCAGTCCAGAACCGTGGAAGAATTTTACTCAGGGGAGTAATGTGAGGTGAGCAACATTGCTTTCTTTCTAAAAGAAATAAGTCCAAATCTCTCAAATCACTAGAAAACTGGAGATGTTTAATAAAGGGGGAGATTTAATTTCAGGACTAAGTAGCATATAAAGACTATATGAACGAGCCTTACAGGAAAAAGGCCTAGGATGAGGGGCAGCAAAGTCCCTTTCAGAAAACCCTGTTTCCCTGAGCTCCGTGATGACACAGCCTTGTGAAGGAGAAGCTGTGTCCTCTTTTTCCTGCCTCTGTTTTCAAATTCTGTTTCTAATCAAGTGATAAGCCCAGGAGTTGCTATGGAGGAAGTAACTATGATTGATTTGTTTTTCCCAGCTGTATTTCTGATGGCAGGGGTGCTATACTAGTAAATAATAGAACAAAATCTCAGGCTTGAGAACATCAAGCCCATTCTCTGAACTCCCTCTGCTTCTGCCCTTTCTACTTCACCATTTCTCTTTATCATTTTTTGTGTCTTTCTGTACAGCCTCAGAGTAAGAAGGAAATCTATCCTCTCCCAAGGCCAACCCAGGTTCCCACATCCTTGGTCTCACTCCCTTCTGCTTATTTTACCAGTCTCTCCACATCCCCTCAAATTTTCAGTCTCTCTTCCTCTTTTTTTAAAAAAATATATTTTATTGATTTTTTACAGAGAGGAAGGGAGAGGGATAGAGAGTTAGACACATCGATGAGAGATGAGAAACACCGATCAGCTGCCTCCTGCACACTCCCCACTGGGGATGTGCCCGCAACCAAGGTACATGCCCTTGACTGGAATCGAACCTGGGACCCTTGAGTCTGAAGGCCAACCCTCTATCCACTGAGCCAAACCGGTTAGGGCTCTCTTCCTCTTTTTGATCCTTCTCTTTGGACTCTAAAACATACTCACGTTTCCCTTATCCTTGTCGCTGTTCTAGTTTTTTCTAAACCCAATGTCCCTCTTCTGCCCTTCCTTTCCCTGCCAATGTTGTAGAAATACATTTTCAGTTCCCACCCACTTCCCCTTTTGCAAGGTGGCTTCTGCCTTCATCTTTACCGAAACTGCTTTCTTATGGTTGATCTCCTAGGTGACAAACAAAGACCTGTTTTAGCTCTTTGTCAACCTGAATTTTTCTGCAGCATTTGATGTTGTTAACCACCCCTGTCTTCACTTCTCTGCTTCTTATTTTTCTTCCTCCTGATGCTAAATTAGGTGCTTTCACAGATTATTCTTGGGTCTCTTATGTTAGTGATTTTCAACCTGGGCTACATATAATAACCTGAAGAATTTCTTAAAATCTCAATGCCTAGGCCAGCCATGGGCAAACTACGGCCCGCGGGCCGGATCCGGCCCGTTTGAAATGAATAAAACTAAAAAAAAAAAAAAAAAGACTGTA